CATCATCATCCAATCAATAAATGGGCCAAGGACCTGAACAGACACTTCTCAGAAGAGGATATACAATCAATCAACAAATATATGAAAAAATGCTCATCATCTCTAGCAATCAGAGAAATGCAAATTAAAACTACTCTAAGATACCATCTCACTCCAGTAAGAGAGGCAGCTATTATGAAGACAAACAACAACAAGTGCTGGCGAGGATGTGGGGAAAAGGCACACTCATACATTGCTGGTGGGTCTGCAAATAGGTGCAACCAATTTGGAAAGCAGTATGGAGATTCCTTGGAATGGAACCACCATTTGACCCAGCTATTCCTCTTCTCAGACTATACCCAAAGGACCTAAAAACAACATAATACAGGGACACAGCTGTAGGGCATGGCTGCCTGCTTCCTGGTCTTGAGGCTGCACATGTGGCTGGGATGGCTCCTGACGATCAGCCAGGAGGCGGTGCTGTGGGCGGTGACGAAGGAGGCGGACCACCTTAGGATAGGTCCAGGACTCTTCTGCCCTCATGGATAGCTTGTGCCTTCCCTTAGAGACTATGGGACGAGTGTACACGTGAACTTGCTCCACCCTTCTGACCTTTATTCTGATTGGCTCCTGTGCAGTATATAAGCTGTGTGTACTTCCTTATTAAATGAGATCCTGCTTTGAGGTTCTCCTTGGCACGTCTGATTGTCCTCCCGGGAGGGAGGGCTGGGATGGGCGGCCAGTCGACCTTTACTTTTCTTGGCTTGCCTTGGCCGGGGCATGCTTTTCCTGCTTCTCCCTTTGGTCAGGAGGAGACAGGGGCTAAAAACCCTGACACACAGCCACATCAATGTTTATAGCAGCCCAATTCACAATGGTTAAATTGTGGAGCCAACCTAAATGTCCTTCAGTGGATGAATGGATAAAAAAATATATGGCATTTATACACAATGGAATATTACTCAGCAATAAAAAAAAGAATAAGATCATGGCATTTGCAGGTAAATGGATGGCATTAGAGAAGATTATGCTAAGTAGAGTTAACCAATCCCAAAAGAACAAATGCCGAATGTCTTCTCTGATATAAGGGGGGTGACTCAAAATGGGATTGGTAGGGAGAGCAAGGGAGGAAAATTACCTCTAGATAGGGAATAGGGGTGGGAGGGAAAGGGAGGGAGAAGGGGAATAGCATGGATTGTGAAAAGAGACCCTCATCACTGTACAAAATACATGTATGAAGATGTGAATTTGGTGTCAACATACCTTCTATATAATCAGAAATATGATAAATTATGATATAATGGTATATTAAGAATTTTAATGCAAAATAAATAAATAAATATTACAAAAGAAAAAATAAAATCATTTAGTAAAATAAATACTAAGCAGATAGTTATTATACTATATCATTTATAGACTAATGACAAAAATGTCTCTACGTGTTCAACACAGGCACAATTTTAAAAATATGTTTTTGATCTGCAGTTGTTTGAATCTATGAATGTGGACTTATAGATACAGAGGGCTAGTTATATTCTCAAATTCCTTTCTTCAAGTAGCCTTACTATGCAACAGTAACATGACCTTTATTTTAAATTAATTTTTGAGTTCTAACTGAATTCTTTTACTTATATTTTATATATCATTAATATATTTTTAATATTCTGATTTCCATTTTGGAACAATTTTTCATAGACTTAACAGTCATAGTGCATTTTATAAATCCTTAACTATTTGTTGCTTTTATTTATGAGAAATTATTTGAAATAGGTAAAATTGTGAACTCAAAAAATACCTTTCCTCTCATAATTCTATACACTTATTTTTTTCTTCTAACATCTAGTGATACACATAATATAGTCAATGTTGATTTAATACTCGGCCCTTAGGGAAAATTTAACAGAAAAACTATGGATATTGCTTATGGCTTTATGAATTACAGATTTATTATAAGAGGTGTTGGGGGAATCTCATATGTATGGACATGTTAACTCTCATTTATATTAGAAACAACATTTTAGAAATAAAACGAGAGAATAAAATGAGTCATTTCCAACTTAATACCTACCACCTGGGATTCTCTGGCTGAACAGAAGTGTAGAATAGTGAACTTCCCTCAAGGAGGTGGAGTGAAGGAGGTCAAGGACATTTAAGTAGGATTAAATCTTAGAAATTTTTCAGCAAATTAAATATGTAAAAAATAAGGAGGGTAAGTTGATCTATCTAACACAAAATGTGCTTGGAGAGAGCTGAATTGCATTCTTTTGGGGAGGGTGCCAGAGATAAGAGATGTCAACTCTGTCTACATAATAGGAGGAGAATGAAAAACTTGGGAAGCAGAATAATGATTCTGTGTCTTATTGGCTGAAAGACTGTGCAAAAGAAGCTGAGTCACTCTCTTATTTTAGACAGAATAGAAATAAGCTCACTCAGAGAGGGGCAGACTACAATTTGTCCAAAGAATATTAATGAATAGGTTCACTAAACACATTTGGGGACTTAACCTTTCATCCTCTTGGGAAACAGGTGAAAACCTTGGCTACAAACAAGCTATAAAGTGGGGCCTTAGAAGGCAGTGTAAAATAAATTTGTATTTATTTAAATTTGTATGAGGAGAAAGAGTCATGACTCCTCCTGTTCACTTACCTCTTAGACTCCATATTAGGTATCCAATTAGTATGGTGAAAAATACTGTCAGGAGAGCTACTCCAATTATTACATCTGTCATCCAGCTATTATACAAAGAAAACAAAGGATCTGAAATAGAGACTGAGAAAGATGCAAAAATTAGGAAATATATGAGAATGAACTAGAGGGAAGGAATGTACAGGAATAACATTTAATATTAACTTTACTTGTACTTAGAATTTATCCTTTAGAATCATTATTTTACCACTTACAATTGACTAATTCAATTAATCCTTGAAACAGCTACATAAAATAAATTTTAAATATCCTTTTGTTACTCTCCTCTTTATCATCAACTTTGAGTTGACCTTGTAAGTGGATGAAAATTTTGGGAATATTGGGATGAGTAGAATGGATTTGGGGCACATACTGGAACTATATAACAACAAATTGGAAAACCTGGAAGAAATAAATAAATTAGAGGGAACACACATAACCTACCAAGACTGATTCGAGCCAAACAGATCATGATCAAGTAAACAGATTAAATCAATAATCAAAAAAGTCGCAACAAAGAGAATCTCAAGACCCTTTGGTTCAGAAGCGAATTATGCCACACAGTTAAAGAATTAATACCCAACCCTTTTTAAATTTACTGTTTTTAGATACATGTGTCAGTAGGGTACATTTTGACATATGAAGTGCAACCCATCCTTCTTATATTCTCCAAAAAGATGGAAGAAAAGGATAACTACCAAAGTCTTTTTTTTTTAAAGCCAGCATCACCAGATATTAAAGCCAGGAAAAAATACCTCAAAAACAAAAAGAAACATAGGTCCATATTACTGATTAACACAGTTGCAAAAGTCCTCAAAAATTGAGGAAAAATTGAGGAAAGTGAATTCAACAGTACATTAAAAGAACAAAACTTTTCAATTTGATCCTCTGAGATGCCACCCAGACCACAGTTCCTCCTGGTGCTGATGAAAGCCTCACATAGGCTTGACTGAACAATACCAAGAGGTAGATTTTAAGGAAAATAAGAGCAACCAAGAGCATCCACCACTACTAACCCCACTTACCTCTGATCCGGAATGGCAAATACACAATAAGAAGAGTCACAGAACATATCATGCAAAACAGGAATTGAGCAGTCATTGAGTTCAACCCACAAAGACATCGAGGAGGACCTCTAAATAGATATTTACATATACCCCCTAGAAGAGAGAGAGTTAAACATTTTTTCATATATTTGTTGATGGTTTGTATTTCTTCTGTAAAGTGTTCAGTTCCTTAGCCCATTTATTGATTGGGTTATTTGGGGKTTTTTTTGATGTTAAATTTTTTGAGTTTTTTATATATCCCAGAGATGAAAGCTTTATCTAAGGTGCATGGGGTAAAGATTTTCTTCCAATTAGCGAAATGCAAATCAAAACTACACTAAGACTTCATCTGTCTTCAGTCAAAATGTCAATTATCAAGAATACAGGCAACAATGAATGTTGTCAAGGATGTGGAGAAAAAGGTACACTCATACGTTGCTGATAGGACTGAAAATTGGTGCTACCATTATAGAAAGCAATATGGAGATTCCTCAGAAAACTCAGATGGAATCACCATTTGACCCAGCTATCCCACTCCTCGGTTTAAACCCAAATGGCTTAAAATCAGCATACTAGAGTGATGCAACCATGTCAATGTTTATAGAAGTTCAATTCATGATAGCTAAACCTAGGTGTTTTTCAATAGATGAATGGATAAAGAAAATGTGGTATACATATTCAATGGAATATTACTCAGTTTTAAAGAAGAATGAATTTATGACATTTGCTAGTAAATGGATGGGGTTTGAGAATATCATGTTAAGTAAAATAAGCCAATCCCAAAAAACCAAAGGCCCAATGATTTCTATAATATGTGGATGCTAATTCACAATAGGGTTGTGTTATTAGGGAAGAATAGAGTTACCTTAAATTAGATAGAGGGGGAGTGAAGGGAGGGAATGGGAGGGGATATGGGGATAAGAAGAATAGTAGAATGAAACAACTATTATTACTTTATGTATACATATATATGACTGCATTACCAATGTGATTCTACAACAATTAGAAAAATTAGAAATCATACTCCATCTTTGTATGATATATAAAAATGCATAAATGCATTTTACCATCATGTATAACAGTAAAAACAGCTTTTTTTTAAAAAAAGAGAGTTAGATTAACAAAGAGGAATATGGGAATCTGGGGCATCTCTAATCTGAGGACAACTGTCTGAAAAAGCAGGAGTTATTGCCCCATGCCAACTCAACTTAGGGCTTACTTAGTCTGTGAGTTTGGTTTGTGGATGGGACTAGGTGTGCAGATCCTGTAGAGCTAGGAGGTGTGTTCTTCAATAATTTGTACCACCTATTTCAGCAGAAAATTAACTTGGCTGGGATAACTATATTCCTAGAGATTCTGAAGATTTCTAGAGATTCTGAAGATTCAGGTTTTGACAGGGTAGCTGTGCCAAAACTGACCTGGCTAAAAGAAAGAATTTCCTAGGATCCACAGACTCAGGGACCAGGAAAGATCTGGCTTCTTAAATGGTAAAAGAAACACACTTCATACCTTTGACCTTAAATGCCCTGTCCAGGTACTCATGGTTACAAGCTAAAGAGACATGGTGAAAGTGTTTTCCCACTGAATTATTTATCTCTGAAACATTTAATCTTTGATTTATATCACCTTCCAGAAAAGAATGACTCCAAAATAGTTTTTGTAAAACTTAATTAACTGTAGAGTTCACAAGTAGTTTCAGAGAACTCAAGTCTCTAAAATACTTTCATGGGAAAAACAGAGAAGGCTGGTTTCAGAATTAGACATATTGTATGGAAGTGATTTTGACATCCAAAGCCAATAAATTTCACACAATCACTATGAATTAGACTGTCTCATGACTCAATGACCTTCCCAAACATTAAGATGTAAAAGAACAGCCAAGGGTAGTGGCACACACCTATAATCCCAGTGGCTTGGGAGGCTGAGGCAGGAGAATTTCAAGTTCAAAGCCAGCCTCAGCAAAAGTGAGGTGCTAAGCAACTCAGTGAGACCCTGTCTCTATATAAAATACAAAATAGGGCTGGGAATGTGGCTCAGTGGTCGAGTGCCCCTGATTTAAATCCCCAGGACCCCCCCCAAAAAAAAAATTATTTACTGACAAGATCAATTTATCACAGAAGAGTTCGATGTAGAAGTTGAATCAATTTCATTTAGATTGGACTATTTCCTTTACTTCTTAATTGATATTATCATATTTGATTGATTTTTAGGATTCTGATCTTTTTTAAACCTTTCGAATCTTTGCACAGAAATCATCACTCTTGCCCTTGTTTTCTTTCTACTCAATTTTGTTGTGTTTTTAGGAGGAAAGTCAGCCTCAGTGTGAGACTTAGGTCTGAAGGTCAAAGAAACTTCCCTTGGCAAAACAGAAACTGACCCAGAGGCTGGCTTCCAGTGCTTCAGCACAAGGCACTTGCTTCTGAGTCCCTTGGAATAGCTCACAACTTCTCCACAGCACTGCTGCTGCTCTCACCACAAGTGGGGGAAAGAGCCACACAATCGTGTAGGCACACAGAGAACCAGTGGTGGCACCTAGAATACAGCGCATCCCTCTGAGAGATGTGTGATCCCTGTTTGAAAGGGTGTCCAGGAGGAGCATCTGGAGCTGGATCAAGAGGGCAGACGGTGAGAGATCCTCAGGCCCTGAGTGTGGATGCACCACTAGTAGCTGTGAGGGAAAAGAGGGGTCCAGACCTAGTGGCTGGGCAGCTTTCCTTACTTAAAACATCAACAGTACCTCTCACCAATGCTCATAAAGCATCTCTGGGTGGATAAGAAGTCCTGTGGCTGGATTTCACCTTGGCACTGAAAACACAAACCCAGATGGCCTTAAAACTCCTTAACTTAGAGATGGAAGTCACTGTTGAACAAATCCATCCACGATAGACTTGGTTCCAGAGATGGTGACTCCCATGCAAAGTGTTCACTGGGCTGATCTTTGCACTTTGCTTTTAAGTATGAGGAGAGGCTCAGGGTTCTTCCTGGAGGACCCAGCCTCTTGCACAAGGATGGGGCATTGGCTGTGGTGTGAGAGGATCATCAGGGGCTCTCCTCTAGGGTGCAGGGCCAGAGCCACCCTGTGCCCTCACAGCTCCCACTGTGACTAGCCGATGTGAGTATGTGGTTCACAGGCCGGTGGCATTAGAGTATTTTCTAATATTCTTTTACAAAACAATGGGGTCTTTACAAAATAAGGGTGTAGTTTCTTAACAAGATAATGGCATCTTTGACATTTCACATCACTTCATTTCTACTCTGAAAATTCTAGAAACGTAAGACTTTCATGTGACTTCTGTTGGGTGAAGAAGCAATATTATTTTGTTTGTTTCTGTGGTTTATTTTCAGTTCATGAGATGGTCTGTTAATATCTGTCCTGTTGACACTCAGGCACAGCTCCTTTTTCCACATTTTAGCCGTTACCTGATGGATTTAAGCCACCTAATATCACTGTGTAGGGCAGACTGTGCTGTGGCTGTGCAGAAATGAGAGGCCCACAACACATGGGACGGAGAGGCAGCCGGACACATTAAACCTGCACAAACTTGCTCTCCTTCTTGCCTTTTTGTTGTTTGCTTTTTTATGTTAATTTTGTCTCCAGCATAATTTCCCACTCTAGTAAAAACAACTTTCCTAATATTGGGCAAGCTTAGGAAAATAGAGCTCTTACTTCTTCCTTTGGAGAAACTATGGATTATTTCTTAAAAGAGGGAAGGACTCCTTCAATTTTCAGTGTTCATTTATTCACTCCTTTAATACCCTGAAGGGGTACAGAAGTAACCATGGGTCTGAAAAGATCAGGAGACATCTATACTGACCTCATCCCCAAAAGCAGCCTTGTCTTGGGAAGTCCATAGTTAAGAGGTGTCAAGCTCAACATTTCTAAACTGGAAAATAAGCCACAAATCTTCCCATGTGACACATGATATTGAAAGACAAACGTCATTCAGCTTTGCCTACATATGATTTAGCCATCAAGTTAAAGCCCTTAACAATTCCCCCCTTGTTGCATCAGTTACCTGTTTCTGTGGAAAAGGAAAGGCCCAAGGAGATCAACAACAAAAGGAACAATATACATGGAACAGAAATTATAAGATTCATTCTAAGGTTGTCCTTATTAAAGAGGGCACCTGAAAGAGAGGAAGAAATGACATCCATGAAGTGACATCTGAAGGTACATTTGCCCCACTCACCACCTTGCTCCTATAATCAATCCTCATTTCTCCTTAGAGGTATTACCTAAGGGTTCCTTTGTTGCACACAGGGAACATCCTTCTCCTGACTGGCCTTTGACATCCATCCACAATGACTCCAAGAAGTGAGCAATAAGCAAATAACCAGGAAACCTGTGCTTTAGATCCACATTTTACTTACTCCTGATTCTATTGGCATCTCTCAACATCTAATTATCAATAACCAAAATAATCTCTCTTGTTTGTTGAATTTTCAGGAATTTTTAAATAGTAGTACTCGTGCTAAATATTGCATGACAGTAGGCAAAGGTTTTTCTGCTGCTAAAAATTTAAGATTCACAAAAATCATGAAATATGATAGTATTCATTTCTAAGATAAAAAAATTGATAGTATTCCTTTCTAAGATAAAAAAAACCATAGATCAGAAAGATCAATGACATCCTTTAAGTAACTGAGCTAGAATTCTGTTAAACTGACACATAAATAGGGTCTAATGAAACAATGAACATTAAAAGCCTTTAAAGCTCAATGTATGTTTCAATTGTGATTTGTCATTGTTCTTGTAATATTTTCTTCTAAATCCTTCTTCTAAGCATCTGATAACATCCGTATTACCAAAACCCATAACAATGATAAAGAGTCCCATTCAAAGGGTGTTTGTGAATGTAGTAAGCTGCTAAAGATGGAGCACTCACTTGCTAGGATGATACTTGTTCGTTTCTCTTCCCCTGTTACAGGGTTGCAAACATAGCACATAATGCTCTCTGACCGGTTTCTGAGGAGAAGAGTCATCTTCATGTGGAACAATCTAGCTCCATCCTGTGAGTAGGATTTTGATGAATGTGGAATGACCTCTCCCCTGCTGTTTCTCCACTCCATTTGGGGCTGTGGAAACCACCCTCCCGAGTTACACTCCACCACGAGTCCATCACTAACAGGAACCTGGACATGAATCTGTGTCTCCAAGCCAAGTGCTGATGGAAATGAGAAAGAACCATCAGTTATTGTACTGAGTTTGGATTGGCAAGTTGAAAGGAAGAAGTCTCAATCATGTGTACTGCAATTTAAAGTTTGTAAATCAAATCTACATTCCATTTGCAAGTCAGATCAACTGATCACTCTGTAATGTCTATTCACTGCAGAGTGTATTTTTGCAGTAGATATACGAGACTTATAATACTTGAAACTTTTTAGAATATTAAAAAATAAATAAGAAGCATTGAAATAATTTTCCTCATATTTCAGCTTATTGTGTCAAAAGAGCTTTGTTATACAACGTTCCACAAGCAACATACCTGCCACGCTTAGGTTCATGCCGGCTGCATCACTGAAGTCAGTATCTTTAAATGAACACCTGTATGGTCCACCATCAGAAATGCTGACATTATGAATTTTGAGGGTCACTTTACCCTCCCCCATGGCCTCTTTCACAAACTCTGTACGATTTACATATTCAGGGGCAGCTTCTCCATTTACTTCATGACCGCCTCTGTATAGGTAAACAAACTGGGAATTGTCACCCTTGAACCAGAGCACCTCCATGTGCTCTGCACTTTGTGGTGGGGACAACTGGCAGCTGAGAGCAGCCTGTCCTCCTACTCTAGCCACCAAGTGCCCCTTGGGAACAGTCACCATCAACTTCTCTGTGGAGGAAGAAAGAAAACCAAAATAAGTCATAAACCAGTAACAACCCTGTTGCTAGACACTACTTGGAAGGGCACACAAAATTCTGCCCAGCAGACCTAAGCTGATCTAAATGTTCAGCTCTGATCACATTCCTTCAGATTAAACCAATATTTTATTTTTTGGAAAAACCAATGTTACTTCATTAGACTTTCAAAACTATATTCATTTGGCAGATTCTGGGAGATGGTGGAGTAGGAAGCACCAGCAACCTGACTCCCCAAACAACCGTATGGGTAGCATCTATCTTGTGTAAATATTTGGAAAACTCTGGAGCCTATTTAAGTCTCACAACTTAAATAGGCTCCAGAAAAATTGTTTGATGAGTATAGAGTTTCAGATTCACAAGATGAAAAGTCCTCTATCAATAGATGATGGGGATGGTTATACAACCTAATGAATGTATCTAATGTCATTTAACTATACACTTAAAAGGGTTAGGATTATAGATTTTATGTTATGTGTATTTTCCTACAATAGAAAATTAGAAAGTATATTAATTTAATCTTTATCTCTTATAATCTCTATTATTTTACAGCATGTTTCTGAGAGTAGGAAAAACAGTAGAGTACATCAGCAATAATAGAAATTTAACAATGGTTTGCAGCTAAAACCATTTGAGCAAAATTTAGGATTTTTATATAGTATTGCTGGGACAAAAATTATTGTTCCAAAAATTTACTTCATATGTATATAAAAGAATTTCAAATATTCATACAGATTTCCTTTTAAAACATTTTTTTAGTTGTAGATGGACACAATATCTTTATTTATTTTTATGTTGTGCTGAGGATCAAACCCAGTGTCTCAAGTATGCAAAGCAAGTGCTCTACTACTGAGATACAACCCCAGCCCTAGATTTCCTTTTTTTGAAGGAAGAAAAAGTGATAAGACACAGAACTTTAGGGGAGAGCAAATACATTTTTAGCTTGACACACTCACTATAAAAGAACATTGTTTTGATTTTTGTATGGGAATAAGAAAAATTACTAGCCTAAATAAAAACTTTAATAGAATATATAATTAAAAATAAACAAAAATGAGAATTAATCATAAGTTAACATTGGTAATTTAACAGCTAGAATAACAATAGGTATATTAGGCAAAATAAAATGCGAGATCAAAGCAATCAACAGAAAATGAGGATATTAAAGTTATGGTAACACATATTTTAAAGATTTCACTACAATTATAGTTAAATGTATAAAAACCTCAAAAATACAAGAATTGCTTTACAAAAATAAAAAGAGGAGATTTTTAATATAACTTTTCAATGAGCAAATCTAGTAGAGCCTGATTTCAGCAGAACCTCATTTCTTCCAGGGAAAACAACCTAAATAACCGTCTGACTAGACTTTCACTGTCCAAGCAAAACCACACAGAGCGCCAGTGAGACTCTCAGAACTGCTTTCAGTGTGTGGTGCCTTCAGTGCAGTGATGCCCTGTGGGTATGGATCTAAGAGGTAGTGTGAGGAGCAAGGAGTCAGTGATAACCAGACGCATCCTCGGTCGTATATGCTCCATTAACCATGTCACAGAAGTCAAACTCTGTCTTTTTTCATCCCTCTCTATTTTCATTACAATCTCCTCCCATCTTTTCCAAGTAAATCCCTTTAGGCAATTTTGACCACATATAACTCTGTTTAGTATATTTTTGCATCTGCTACCATGGACACAATTCTTTCACCGAAGCTCACGACAGTGTTCCTCTCTCAACTTGAGGTCACAGCTAGGTCATTTGATATCTCTAAGCCATTGGTACATTCTTGATATAAAGCCTAATGATTTTTTGATATTTACAAATCATTTTTGTACCTCCAACCATAAAACACATCATTTTAGAAAGTTATTTTATTGGGCTATCTTTGTTACTTTGACCTCAAGATTTTGTTACAAAAATTGGTTATTTTTTCTAAATTTGTAATAGTATGAAAAAGTTTAAATAGAAAGAGAAGTATATATTCAATAGAGTTAATAACATAACTCTAAAACTGACCTAACAGAGTTTCTTGGGGGTAATTTATATTATATATATATATAATTTTAATATAAATTTATATATAATTTTTTAACATTTCTTTTTTATTCTTTCTTAGAATTCATATCACTCTACTTACATTATTCAAGTGTTCTTAAATTTTATCTACTCTTTTTTTTATTAGGTCCCATAGCATATTAATTACAGTTGTTCTAAAGTCCTGGCCTGATAATTCCTATATCCCCATCATATCTGAATCTGGTTTGCTCTCTCACTTCAAACTATGGATTTGCCTTTTAGTATATCTTGCAATTTTTTTGTGGAAAGCCAAATATAGTGTATGAGTAAGAGAAATTCTGGTGAAAGCTTTTTAGTGATGAGGTGACAGAGTTTGGGGGGAGGAGAAGCATGCTGTGGTTCTCTGGTTAGGTTTCAGTTTGGGTGAGCCTGTGCTCTTGGGCAGTGAGCTTCCTGAGTGCTTTTCTGCATGCTGCCCCCTCTTAAGTGGGACAGGATGGATAGAGGAGCCTGGAGTTAGATATTTCCTTTCCCCCAAGTTAATTAAGTTATGGAACTCCAAAAGGTTGGGCTCTGTCAAAATAGTTTCTCTTAAAGACAGTACTTATTTAAAGCAAATATGTACCAGAATGATTACTTTTCTCTTCTCCTTACTAGAAGCACAAAGAAATTTTCTCCACATTTACTGTAAGAACCTAGTGGAAACCCTGGAGGTAAAAGGGACAAGTGTCCTGCCTGCCCTGGGCTTCTCTGGATTCTTTGGCTCAGACAGGCCCACACCTAACCTCTAGCAATTGAAGAATTACAGTTTAGGTTTTCCTGTCCTGGTACTGATTTCCCCAGAGGTTTCTGCTTATGGATTTCTGCTCTAGTGGATTCCTGCACCTGTCTCTCCCTCTGATTTGGAGATCAGTGGTTTGCCCTGTCATCTCACTTTTCATGGATCTAAGAAGAGTTTCTGATTTTCATTTGTTTATCAGTCTTTCTCTTGATATTACAATGAAGTGTTAACTTTAAGCTCCCTCCAAAAGTTAAGAGGACACTAGATTTTTTCTACAGCTGAGACTGACGTGGAAGAAGTAGATGTTCTTACCTGAAGTTAATGTCATCATTTGCAAGAGAATCAAGCACATACAGTATCCAGAAAAGTAGGAGGATGTAGGCTCCATCATATCTGGAAAAAAAAAAAGACTGGAATAAGGTCACAAATTGTGAGATATAATGTAGAGGTTGCATGAATACATAAGATTTAATCGAGATTATAAAGAAAGATGACCTCAGACTCTTTCCTCTTACAAATYGACCTTTCTCAGTGCTCAATAAAATAACCATGTTCCCTCACATTGTTCTGATCAAGAGAGGGAATGAATATGGGAATCACAAAGGCACAGGAGCCAAAACGTGCATTGATAACCTAAGAAGAGTGTTTTAGGATTCATAAGTTTGAACGCTGAAACCAAATTTGGTTGAACTAAAACACCTTGTTAAAAGTCCTATATGTTACTTCTAACAAATGAAACATGGCTAAAAGGTTTTAACTAGTAAAATTTAATGGTCAAACCTGCACTTTAAAAATATGGAAGTGGTTTTCTGATTGAGCGACTGAGTGTTAGAACAAGCAGCACTTGCGTCATTACATAAGAAACAAACTGGACAAATTGCAAATTGGTGACTTTTCTCAACTCATAAGAGAAGTAATGTTAAGGGCAAATGCTTAATGTGAARTTGGGAAAGACTGCAAGATAAAACACAACTTAAGATTTGCTAACTTTGGAAAGAGTCTGAAGGATGTCACATAAACCCACAATAAGATTTACTTACAACCTTTAAACAAATTGCTAGAGTTTGAATGTATGCTAATRTATGAGTATTAGAAACTTTGGGGGGAGCAAATATAAGTGTTCTTTTGCAGTTCTTTACTTCAGGAATTCAGCTACGAAAATTCTGACCAACTTTTCTCCTGTTGCTGATTGGAGGGGAAAAAATTAGGAATATATTGTTACTAGTTTCATAACTAGATACAAAGTATTATTTAAAATCCACCCTATATACATTCATCTTCCCCAAAACTGAAAGCTTAACATGACAGGAAAGATCAACAAAAATTTAGCCTCTGGGCACTTGTGTAAACCCACTGAAACTGGTAGAGAGGAACAGGGATAAAACCTTCTAGTTTTGAAGGGTTTCTTAAAACATTTAAGTTGCTATAACAAAATGCCTGAGGTTGGGCTATTTATAAAAAGAAAAGGAGATTTGTTTATCTAACAGTTCTGTAGGCCCAAGAATCACCAGCATCTTTTCAGCTCCCTGGAGAAACTTGTGGTCGAGAGCATCACATGGTGGGAGTCTGTGCAAAAGACATATGTTCCCCAAGAGGGAAACTAGTTAAATGAAGGAGGGATACATTCTCAAATTTAAAAAGAAGAGAGGTTTTCTTTTCCTTAYCAGTTTATTAATAGGTAAGAAATATTTAATGTTTGAACAGAATAACCTATAGAGATGAGGAAGGTGCAGCTACACTAAAAAAAAAGAATAAAAAGAAGAGCATCTTTAGCAGAATAAATTAAGATAAAATCTGGATTGTTTCTTGTTTTAATTGCTCCAAAAGATAACTAMTTGTCTAATGCAAAGATAGTAAAAATATAATGAGATTTATAGCTTCTGTGAAAGCAAACTAATTGAGGATTAAAGGCACAAGGGATAGGGAAAAATTAGGAATATATTGTTACCAGTTTCCTAACTAGATACAAATTATTAAAGTACTTTATTAAGATGGATTCAGATAATTCAAAAATGTATATTCTAAACCCTAGGACAAAAACCACTGAAATACTTTTTTGGGGGKAAGGGACTCAGGAGATTGAATTTAGGGGCATCAACCACTGAGCCACATCCCCAGSCCAATTTGTATTTTTTTTAAATTTAGAGACAGGGTCTTGCTGAGTTGCATAGCACCTCACTTTGCTAAGGCTGGCTTTGAAATCTCAATCCTCCTGTTTTAAAAGGTAAAAAATAAATCAATAAAGGAAATAAAGTGAACTATTAAAATTTCTCAATTAAATCCCATAAAGGGTGAAATGCAAAAATAAAGAAACAAATAAAAAATGTACAAATATAAACAGGGATCAGAGTGGGTTTCAATCCAACTCTGTCAACAAACATTTAAAATGGAAATGATCTAAAAAGACAAGTTAAAAGTACAGATTATCAAATTGAATAAAGCAAGACCAATTTGATGCTGGCTTCAAGAAAACCAATTAAATATACACACACAGAGGGATTAAAAGAAAAGAATCGAGAAAGATATGCCATGAAAACTCCAAAGAAAAAGAAAACTGGAGTCCTTATATTAGTTCCAGATGAAGTCGTTTTGGGAACAGGAAAGATGATTAGAGACAGAGACATCACATAATGATAAAGGGTCCAGTAGTCCAGGAACAATCATAAATGCATATGTTCAAGACAACAGAGCTTCAACAATATGTAAGGTAAGTAATGACAGATCCAAAAGGGGAACTAGTCATATTGACAATCAGTACTGATGACTTTAACACTCTATTTTGGTAACTGATAGAACAAATAGGCAGAATATCAGTAAGAAAGGAGGTAATGTATATCAATTAAATTAACCTAATTGAAAGATGTGGAATACACTCCAACCCATAGGGGAATATACATTCTTCACAAGCATATATAAAATGTAAACCAAGGTGAATTAAATTCTAAACTATAAAACAAAACAATCCTTAAATCATTTCAAATATTTGAAATCATTAAAAGTATGGTCTTAAACCATATGGTGCTCAGCTAGAAATCAGAGCAGAAAGATATCTGGATAATCCCCCAATATTTGGAATTACACAGCATATGTCCTAAAGACAAAACAAMATAATTTTTTAAAAATGAAGCAGAATTAATAAAGTTGACAACAGGGAAAGCAATAGAAAAAAATGAAATGAAATTCTCTCTTAAAAGAGCAGTTAAAATTGATAAGCCTCAAGCCATGCTAAAGCAAATTAGATGATACAAATCAACTATTTCAGAAATGAAAGCGAGGATATCATTACTAATTCCACATAAACTAGGGGAAATGATAAAACAACTCTATGAATATAAGATAGGCAACTTATGAATTGAACCAATTGTTTTCATGAATAAACTACCAAATCTCCATCAAGAAGAAAAAGACATCCTGAGCAGCCCTACATGTATTGAGGAAATTTGTAGCTGATAATGTGAGGGAAAAAAGTCTCCAGGCCCAGAGTAGTTATACACATGGACTGAAAAAAAAAAATTGCAGATGAATTGAAACTAACTCTACAGAATATTTGCAGGATAAATGAAATATAGGGAAGATTTCACAGATCACTTTATTCGATCTAAATTACCCTGATATTAACACACAATGATAATTTAAAAGAAAAATAAGGCAAYAGAGTGATATCCCCCGTAAAGATAGATGTAAAAACTAAATATTGCCAAATTAACTCTAGCAATATATCGAAATAATACTATATTGTGAAAAAGTGAATTCAGGCTGGTTCAACATGGTTGTCAATGTAGAACATCCCAGTGGACACACACACAAAAAAAATCTCTTAGAACTAATTAGTGAGCCACCAAGGTTGAAATTTATAGGTCAATATTCAAAGGCCAATTTCCTTCTCTTTATAAACCATGACCATCTGGAGTTTGAAAATTTTTAAATGCTATTTATAATGAATGAAGCAATGAGATAAAAATTTAACAAAACATATGCCAGTTCGATATGTTGGAAACTACAAAACTGTGTTGAAAGAAAATAAAGCCTAAGTTGGAGAGCCAAATCTTGTTCCCAGTTGCTAYGATATGAATGTTTGTGGTCGCCCAAATTCTTGAAATTTAATTTCTATTGTRACAATGTTAAGAGGGACCTTAAAATTGTGATTAGACCTTGAGGGCTCTACTGTCATGAATTCATGCCATTATTATTGGAGTGGGTTTATTATCATGGGCGTGAATTTCTTATAAAAGGACAAAATTGGCCTGTTTTGGCATCTGTCACTTGCTTTCTGCCAGGGGATCATACGACACAAGCTCTTGACAGATGTTGATCTTGGACTTTACAGCTTCCAGAAACAAATTTTGGTTGTTTATAAATTACTCAGACTGTTTATTGTGTTACAGTAGCACAGGATGGTCCAAGACCACAGAACAGCTTTTGGTCAATATCAAGTTTTTTGGGCTGGGGATGTGGCTCARGCTGTAGCGTGCTCGCTTGGCATGCACGGGGCCCTGGGTTCGATCCTCAGCACCACATAAAAATAAAATAAAGATGTGTCCACCGAAAACTAAAAAATAATATTAAAAAATTGAAGGAGAGCACATGGCGGCGGGTGTGGAGGGATCAATCCTGTGACCTCCTCAGCCGCGCCGGCAAAGAGAGACTTCAGTCCGACTGAATGCTGTCTGCTCAGGAACATCTGGCAATGCTGGGCTGAAGTGGATCTGGGGCGGGCAGTTTGAGCTTCACAGCGGCCCCAGCGAGCTCCGTGCGGGTGAATTCAGGCTGCCCCGCGCAGAGTTACTGACTGATTGGCTTCCCACTGCCAAACCGCCACAACTCGGGGCTACAGAGACCCTCGGGCAGAATAGAGAAACCAATCTTCATTTCTCTTGTGGATCTTTTGAGGTGGTGCCAACCAAGCCTCCATGGGCCAGCGGGCCGAGAGCCGAGGTGGGACCTGGGAGAGACAGACGGGATCCACCCTTCCCACCTGACACGGTAGAGAGAAGGGGGTCCACCTGGCAGAGAACTGATGTCACCAGAGTTCTGTGGATGGGATCGCTCCACATCGAGACCAGCGACAGCAGGTGTGTGACCCTCGACCCGCCCCTCTCCACACAGCTGGGAAATCTCAAGGGCCCCCTCCCCAGCTCTCCATGGGAGTGATTGTTGGACAGAGGGAGTCAGGAGGGACATCTGATCCCCGGCTATGGCTCCCACCAGCACTGACAACCCAGGCCTCTTTCCCCAGCTCCCGGGCGTGGCTACCGGAGGGAATCAGGCAAAATAAGCTGAGGACCCCAGCCCTGCGCATCACAACCTTGGGGTCTGGGTGAATGGCAAACAGAGARAGTGCCCAGTCGTTCAAGAAAATAGGGCATCCAGGGGGCTGCAGGCCCGGCGTGT